AAAAGCAGAGAGTAACCTTAAGGGATGTGTACAGCCCATTGCATTTCATAGACACAAGATTACCTCAGAGAGCTCTCCGGATTCTCAGTTATAAGTCTGAGCATGAGTTTTACTCGGTCTTTTTGTGGCTAAAATTGATGTTCAGATGAAGGCAGCCCGCGGAAACATCATCAATCTCCCAACTCATCAATTCCATATTGTCGTGAAGATTGTAGCGGTGTATGGTCACGTTTGAATCATTTGTGTTGTGTGTTCGCTCGTATCATATCGGTGAATCCGCTCGAAATTGAGGATAAGTCTGGACGAATTTTGTTGGGTGTATCGCCGACGAAACACTGTAAAATTGGTGATTATTGTTACGTTCTGATCGACACATGCTCGCTGCCACCGCGTTGTACACGCTTGACCGTCGTCCCCGAATCCCTCAAAACTGTAGCTGAGTACCAGTTGCAGTTGGCCAGGAATCGGGCGAATGAACGTTCGAATCAACGAGTCTGTGCAGACGACCAGTTCGATAATGCCTTTTCCGCAGACCAAAAGCAAGAAATGGATATTGACGAGAGGGATGATGCAGCACGCTTCACAACACCAACGACAGCCGTCAAGATGGAGACTAACTGAGATTGTTTTCATGACAAGCAACTGCTTCGGAAAAGGATTTATGAGCAAAATTTACNAATAACATGCCTTTATCTGAGGTCTGTAAATGAGGTGGTCTGTGAAGAGCTGTAATTTGTAATCTGTAAAAGAAAATCCGAATATGAAACCAGTGACAGTGTTCAATTCGAATCCGTAACTAGATCGAATTCCTCTATGTAAATTATTTTTTATTGGAAAGTCTGCCTCTAGAAAAAGTCATTTTACGAATTAAAATTGCCGGATTTCTGAAAATTTTGAAGCCCTATTGATCACCACCTATTTGTCGAAAGAACTCTTTTTACTGCAACATTTATCCATCGTTCATCGCCTACGTACCTGATTGATTTAACTTGAATGTAGATTTGTACATGTGTCTGTTTCACATTCAACGAACTGAAACGAATTTTCATTTGTGATTCTTATTTTGCTGAATATGGTTTATTGAATCAGAAGTGGGAACGTTGTCGAGTGGACAAACGAATAATCGAAATATTCAGCAAACTATAATATCTGACATTCTGAAATCATTGCGTGACATTGGCGTCCTCAAATGACAGCTATCGATTTTTCAGTAGTGATAAAGCATTCGAAAGCAACAGAATCGAACGAGAGTAATCAGATGAAGTGAATTTCAAAATGCTTCTTTTTGTCAGCATTTACCATTTATTTGAATCATCTGCTTAATATCTGTCGATTCATTCCCATAGCCGCCAATAAATGAAGGAATGAACCACGCAACTAATCATTCCTGCTGAATAACGATAATTAGAATTTTGAATGGTTTTCGAAACCTCTTCGAAATAG